TAATAGGTTGTGCAAGGCTTGGTTCAAATTGGGCATTCCATTCGGCTAATATTTAATTTATATACATTGAAAAATTTGATACTTTGTGGAGGAGGTACCAGAAGGAGTGGACCAATGGGCCCCATCTTTGGTTTTGATCTAGGCTTGATAAAGATAATAAGTTAAGAAAAGTTTGGTTCAAATCCGAATTCCATTCGTCTGATATTGGTTTTAAAAAATATTGAAAATGTTTTTACCATTTGTGGGGAAAGTACCAAGAGGAGTGGACTAATGGGTATCATCTTCGGACTTGATTTAGACTTAGTAAAGAAAATAAGTTGTATAAAGATTGATTCAAATCGGATAGGCCGTTCGCATGGAAATTAATTTTCAGCAAATGTTGACTATTTTGAAGGTACCAGAAGGAGTGGATTGATATTTTCTATCGTTGAATTTGAAATAAGTTTGGAAGAAATATTCGGATGGACATTCGTAAATCGACACCAAATTGTCTGAAACGGATTTTGTCCTAAGAAACATGGAGCCAAAAACCAATATTTCGATGAGGCACATTTTTTCCATACCATATAAAAAGGAATCTGTCTAATCTCGTAGATAAAAACTGTTATTTTTCCGTTCCTTGAGTTACGTGTCTGTTCTGTCTGTTGAGTTACGAACTCTTTCAAGCACTAATGATTTTGAGGTAATTTTTATCCACTTTTTGACACATATTGAGCGGCATCTCAGCCATAACTCGACTAATGTTAATTTTTAAGTGTTCAAGATTCGAATTTCTGCATTTTATGAATGCAATTCATACAACTTTAAATACTGTTTCTTATAAGAGAGAGAGAGACAGAGAGTAAAAAAACTTTAGAGTGTGTTTGGCTGGATTTTCTATGGCACCGAAAATCTTTAAATACATTTTCTTGTCTTGAGTCATTGAACGATCGTAAACAATGTTAAACATTTGGTTGAGCTTATTTGTGCTCGTATCAACATTTGTTCGATATCGAAATAATTTGGAAAATACATATGCGAATTTTATAACACATTGCAGTCAGTAATTTATGACAATATTCATTAAACATTTTGTTCTATGTATGCAAATTTACGCCATATTCTTTCGAGTTGTGTGCAACCACATATTCTCCAAGTCTCATTCTTCAATATCATGTAAAAAAAGTCGATTGTCATGCGACCATAACGCTAAAGCTCCTATCCCACCTACAGACCAAAGAACGCACCATACAGTGACGTTTTCTTTTCAATTACTTGAAGATTCTCAGAACCAAAATACGACAATTTTGTTTCTGAATGTAAATCATAATCTCTCTTAAAGCTAAATTTAATTTTTTATACATACTATGTGTTGTGAGAAGCAATCGATTTTCTTCAATGTCAGACATTCAACTTAAAGAAAAAAAAAATGGTTTAACAACTTAGTTTGACAGATATCGAATTCCAGTCCCATGTTTTTGAAATCACGATGAACCTTTACTTGGAAAGGTCTATTTTGATATAATTTCTGGGAATCCGAAATCTGATAAAAAATATTCTATTATTAATTTTTAGAGTATTTGGAAAATTGTTTTTCCATTTTAATTATGTGACATTTCATACAACAGACTAACAAATAACCAAAGCCATTTTCCTGGGAATGCGAATTAAATAGAAAAAATAGAATAAAAAATAAATAGAAAATCCTATGAATATTTCACAAATTATGATGAATTGAATTGTTTGCCTGAATAAACAAAAAAATAGATGTTGATATTGAAATTTATTTTGAAGTTACCTGTCTTAAAGTAAATAGACTGCCTTATTCGTTCGACATGTTTTCAAAGGAAATTGCAAATATATTTTGGATGATGTCCCTCTACACATCAACCGAAAGTCTTCGAGATGTCGATTATGCCTTGAGAAACGTAAATGTAATCAAATCATTAAATATTTGTTTGTCTATAATTGCTTGGTTGTATGAATGGATGGATGGTTGGCTGGCTGACTGACTGACTGATTGTATGGTTGCTTGCTTGGAATGTGAACTCCTCTAGCCTATATTGGCAGTTAGAGCACGTCCTATTTGGCTATGTCAATATTGGCTGCATACTAATCATATTTGCATAGGTTTTACCAATTATCCCTACCAACATCAACAACAACGAGAACGATAAAGGGGTTGTGGCATATGATAATACTCCCCCGAACCAACACACACACGCACACACCCTCCCTCAACGAGACACATTTACATTTCATTATTATTTACCCCATCAAATGTTGATGTGTCTGCTGGCGCTTAAATCTTCATCTCGTTTGAACATTTCAGTAATCCGAAAATTAAACATCTTATGGCGCCCACTTGTCTAAGAACAACGAGCGAACGAACATGTCATCGTCATCCTTTGGCGTCTTTTTGTTGTCATTTTGTCTGCAGAGGCCAATGAATGAATGGTTGGATGGATGAATTGATAATATTCCACAGTGGGAATATTTGTTTTATACAAAATATTTGAAAAAAAAAAAAATAATAATAAAAATAATACTAAAATCAAAAAAGTTCATTTCAAAATGAAAGATTTTGAGTGAAATGCGACCAAACCCTTAGTTTGAAGCAAAAAAAATGTTTACGTAAACAAAAGTTTGGTATCATGCAAACTGATAGAGTCAAAAGTTTGAAATTTGATTGAAGATTGAAACTGATGTAAAGAGGTTTGTAGATTTGTACTAAATTTGGTACTATTTACATATGGAATCGTAAAATTTGGAAACAATATTGGATTGTAAGATTGAGTTATGTAGGTGGAATGTGTACTTATTTGTATTAAATGGAACTAAATTTGGTACCAGTACCATTGGGTGAACGGATGGGGCTGAAATTGGGAAAATGGATTTATCAAATCGCGATGATTAGGTAGTTTTGGAAATTAGTACATTTGAGTACTGACTATTAGATTTGGAATCTTGAAAATTGGAAACAACATTTAATTGTAAGATTGAGTTATGTCGGTAATATTGGAAATTCGTGCTTTTGTGTATAAAGTGAAAATAAATCTGGTACCAGTAGAATAAGGGTGAACCGATGGACCTGTAATCCTGAAATTAGGAAAAGGATTTCTACTGGAATGTAGGATTGAAGTATGTAGGCAGTTTTGTATAAGGTAGTATTCAGGTATGTAGGTAGTTTTGGAAATTTGTACTTATATGTACTAAATGGTACTAAATTTGCAACAATATGGATTTGAGTGAACCGATACAGCTGGAATCCTGTAATTGGGAAATAAGATCGGATTGAAAGATAGATGTATGTAGGTCATTTTGGTAAAATGTACTTATATGTACTAAATGGTACACAATTTGTTTAACATTTGGATTTGGTTGAACCGATAGAGCTGGAATCCTGAAATTGGCAGATTCATAAATATAGTAAATGGTACTAAATTTGGCACAATTTGAATGTTGGTGCAACAATCGGGCTGGAGTCCGTAGATTAGGAATTAAGTTTGCAGTTGGGATGTAGGATCGGGATATGAAAGTAGTTTTGGAAATTTATACTACAAGAGTACAAAAGGTAATAAATGGTTACATGTTTGGTACAAAATGTAAACACATTATGTATTCGGCGTACCGATAGATTTAGAATTCTGAAAATGTTTGTTGGTGTGTATATTTGGGATGTTTTCAGTACAGCTGTACGGAAGAAAGGTACTAAATGGTTCTAAAATTTGAATTGTGGTCGATATTTGTGCGTAGGGTAGAGATATGAAGTTTTTTTGGAAATTAATATTTACGTGAACAAAAAACCCCAAGTGGCACTAGATTTAGTATTGGATATAGGAATACAATAGGGATTCGGAAAGTTGCTTATATTGTCACTTTTGGTATGTAAAGTTCTAACATGGATCTGGTTTTGTAAATATGTACTATATTAGTACGGAAGTTACTAAATGATAAACCCAATAAAAAATGTACGATTATATTTAGAATTCCGATTTATTATGGTCTATATATGTATAGTCGAAATCGTCTTTTAACGGAAGTCCTTATGAACGATATTATTATTCTTTCAGGACTTTTCGATACCGTCGCTTTAATCGGTATATTATTACCGAAAGATTGGTGTAGCGTATCATATAATCTGCCCGGTATGCCATTGGTTATTTCCTTACAGATTAATTCTGAAAAAATAGCAACAAATCATCCCTCTGTAGCTTTCCTTTTGTCAATCTAAATCACTATGTCCCTATAGAGCCAACATTTAATTTGCTCTGTTCTTTTTACTCTAGACATTCGTAGTACAAAAGACAAGAAATGCGAGCATATTACTCATGTTGGGAGGGATGGGAATTCCAAATCTCATTCTGATGACTCAAAGGATAAACAGCGTCAATAGTTTGAATGGATTAACTCAGACAATAGTAAAATTAAAAACGAAATGAAACGAAACGGAGGGGGAATGGGAGTCAAACGAGAAGTGCAAATACGGAAATTAAATAGAATAACACACAGAAATTAATAATATTCTGTGCGTTCAACTTAATCGTAATGTACTAATCTCCCGCCAAGAATCATTGGTTGGCTTTAATGACACGATGAACTTCTGTTGTGGAAATGGGATTTGATACGAGGTAGACACACACAACTAATCTCTAGAATTTGTAACAGGCGTCGTGGTATATCTGCGGTTTCTTAATTAATATCTGGGTGCCGAGAAAATGCCAGCGAAGTTTGTTGTGCTGAAAGGGGAATATAACGAAGTCTATTAATATTTTTGTTTAAGACTTGCCACTTTAAACTGTTGCACTTTATTATTATTATTCTAAATATTTTTTTGTTTTTTTTTTTTAAACTGGGACTGGAGCTATCGTCCCATCGTCGTTATGTGTATGTCGTACTAAGGACTCATCAACATAATATCCTCTTAGAAACTGGATGAAAATAAAGAATTTTACAAATCTACCATGCTCTAGCATACCTCACTCTAGCATACCTTATTTTCCTCTCCCATTGCAGGCTTTCATTAGAAGAACACGAAGAGCACGTTTCTGGAATATGGGAATATTGTTCCTGATATATTATTGTGTCACTGTATATTCGGCGAAAAATGGAGATGAAGCCCCACCACTTTCCGAACCAGGTAATGCTGAAAATCAACATGAAGAGGTATTGGCGAAATCCGGTGAGGAAATCGATGAAACGATATTGAGTGATACAACACAGGTAAATATCTTTACAATCGCGACAATAAATTGATTAAATTTTTTCAAGAGCTGCTTCCTCATCTCATCTCCCCATCCGATTTAAGCTAATGTTTTCCAGCACTGAGGCCACACATTTGCAGCCCAAATCGGCAGTTCCTACATGGCGTCCAAGACGAGAAAACTGTACCCCTCCAGCAATAGAACAATTCCCCCGTCCGTTAATGGGTAAATGGCTGCGGCAACATGGTGGTCTGGTCATTCATGTTCTGGTTGCTGTTTTCACATTCTTTGGCCTGGCCATTGTGTGCGATGAGTATTTCGTGGCCAGTTTAGATCGGCTTTGTGAAGGTAAATCTAAGGCGCACATACATGATTCCGAAGCTAATTCATTGACATCTCCTTGCAGAATTAAAGTTATCACCGGATGTTGCCGGTGCCACATTTATGGCTGCCGGCAGTTCAGCTCCCGAATTGGCCACCGTGGTCATTGGCGTGTTCTTTGCCAAGGACGATATTGGCATTAGTGGTGTCATCGGTTCCGCTGTCTTCAACATTATGTTCGTCATCTCGGTGTGTGCTTTGTGTTCGGGAACAGTCTGCCAACTGAATTGGTGGCCATTGGTGCGAGACTGTTTCTTCTATTGCGTTTCGATTTTGGTCATGTTGATAATTATCTTTAATGATGTCATCTCTTGTGTGAGTAATCACTTAGTTCCAAAATGGACATATATTTGTAATGTATCTTTCTCTCTCACCCTGCAGTTTGAATCGGTCGTTATGCTGCTGTTCTATGTCATCTATTGTGTCGCCTTATGCTTCAACACCCAACTGGAACGCTGGGCTATGTCTCTCAATCTTCCCTTCAAACTTCCCACGAAGGAGGAACAATCCTCTCTGGTCACCTACAAAAACGTACCCGACAGCACGTACACAGAAGGCAGTCAACAGCAGACTAATTTGTCACAGGAGCCTAACGCCACCTCCCCAGGAAACCAGCAGCAACAGTCATCCACATCCGATTATCAGAATTACTCCGATCCAAATTCTAGCTGGGATCCCAATGCTGCATGGGGCGAGGAATCGTCTAGCAACCCTGTGGGTTCCAGCACTATCCCCAGCCAACCACCGGTCGATGACTGGGGCATGAGTCAATTCTCTGCCGGTCAGGGTCAAGAGAATATGGCTTACAATCCCGATCAACCCGATTCCGTGGTAACGCAAAGTGCTACGACAGATAACAACAGTAAACCGGTTGTGGGCAAACCCCAACCCGCATCAGGTGGTGCTCCCGAATACTACAAATCGAGCGACAAATCGAAGGAGGCCCGACCCAATCCCCTGGAACGTCCAACACAGGGCGGTTTGCCAGCCCTGATCTCCTGGTATGTCGTCTATCCCATTCACTTCTTGTGCCAGAAAACCATGCCCGACTGTCGGACCGAACAGTATCGCAATTGGTATCCCTTCACCTTTCTCATATCCATGATTTGGATTTCATTCTACTCATACTTCATGGTCTGGATGATCACCGTCATTGGCTCCACACTGGCCATACCGGACACGGTGATGGGTCTAACGTTCGTTGCTGCTGGTGTTTCTGTACCCGATGCCCTAAGCTCAATAGCGGTAATCAAAGAAGGTTATGGCGATATGGCCGTTTCAAATGCAATCGGCTCGAATGTCTTTGATATCCTAGTGTGCTTAGGTCTTCCGTGGTTCATACAAACGGCCATTATCAAGCCGGGCTCTCACGTCAATGTCATATCGAAAGGTAAGTGCACGATGCATATTGTTAGCGTAAACAGCAACAACAAACCTAAATAAAGTAAAATAGCAAAGAGAAACATTGTGTACGTGGGTGCCGCCGTCGTCTATCGATAGCAAGAAACTAATCACCAGAGCAACCGCGAAGACTTAAGGACAGCTGAGGACACTCAAGTGTCATTCTCAACTCTTTAATTGTTGTTATTTTGTGATTTTCCTTTTCCCCCTTCAATAAATATCTCTGTTTTTTCAATGTGTGGGTAAACGTTGTGTATGCGAGAGGTAATATTTAACCAACCAAAAAAGTTGATTTTTTCCTAACAAGTCACACAAATACACAGTACACCGTTCCCGCCCCCACCACACCACTTTCACTACCCCCCAAAATGGCACACCACACACACACAGCTACACAATTTGCAATGTAATTTATGCACCACTCTACACTTTATACAATTCAAAATTAAAAAAAACAACAACAACAGAAGTTTATATTAGATTGTAGTTTCATTCGCTATCTGCACTTGTATTGAGAATATCGATGCACCCATTATATTACAAAAACGGCAGTAAGCTTTTATATAGGTTTTTTTTCCTATTAATAATCACTCAAAAAAGAGAGGAGAGGAAATTGGTGAGAATAGGTGCAGATTTAGACCTATATATATATATATATATATATATATGTATTGGTTTATTCACGAAGCTCAAATTGCCCTAAAAATTCACATTCCAGAACTATATTTTATCTGTTGACAATAATTCATATAAAAAATCTGTCGATTTTGCATTAGTGGGTAAAAGTCGAGAATTGATTTTTAATAGGTTTGACAAAATCGAAAGAAACTCGAAATGTTTAATCTAAACTTTCCTTAATTCTAACTTTCTCTGCATATCTGTAGCGCACAATAGGCCTCAACTGGCTTATGTGTATGTCATTCCCTTGTTGGATATGTGGTGGTATTATCCACCCCTGTTTTCAACTTAACCTAACCTAGTTAAAGGTAAAAATCGAAAAGTCTAAAAATCAACTTGTTGGCAAAAAAGATCACAATAGGGAAGTCGGTAAGCGCCAGTACCGTGAGGATAGTTTTACATTTACAAAGCTGCCGTCCTCAAAAGAACCCGTACATTTCGAAAGTAAATAGCAGAAACGGCTTAGTTATCCTCAAAAGTACAAAAACAAGGACGTTTCATTTCGGAATACTGCTCTTTTCACGGACAAAAGTAAGTTCGAGACATTGGACTCCGAAAAGCACAGGGAAATATGAAGGAAGACTAATTCAGAGTTCAATGAACAAAACCTTCAAACTACGCTTATTATTGTCTGTGGATGTTTTGCAGGGTTGGAGAAATTGCTTTTATTGAATCGACTACGAATGCGAAATGTTACATAGATGTTCTAAACAAAACTGTGCTAAATTGGGTTTACCTGGGTAATTGGACATTCCAACAGGTCAATGATCCCAAATAAATAGAAAAAATCCCCAGAGCTCAATCCAATTGATCATATTTATGAGTAACTTCCATATATTTATTTATTGATATGATTTTTGCCTGTAAGGGCTTCGCCGTTGGTTATATGTGGCTTCACTAAGGTCATTGCATCTGCGAATTAAATTCAATTTGATTAATGTCCGACATTTGTCTTCACTCTAGAAACATTCTTTTTTAAAGCAGTTTTCTAACCTATATATATTTTCCCGTCTGATTTCAAGACCTAATTATCCTAAGTTTGTCCGATTGACACGAACTTTAGCATAACGCACCGAATTGAATGCAAACTACACATTTTAATTAAAATCAGTTCAAATTTAGATATTCATATGTATATGAGTTTGTCTAATTAATATAAATTGTGCAACAAATTTGTAAAGTCTGATTATTAAATTCCATCTGATGTCGTGTAGATATGTTGTTGTTCGGCTCAACTTTTAAAATAGGTATATTCTTATTGATTGATTAAGAAAGTATACAATATAATTGGTAATTGGTATTTTACACCCATACACTTACACAATATATTTGAAAATTAATTCCGAAGAACTAATATATTTTTTCTCGTTCACTCTTTTTTCCCCTTTCTCTTTTTCAATTCCATTTCGGGCCCTTTCCAGGTTTGACGTACTCCACAATTTCACTATTCTCGACAGTGATATTTTTAATACTCTCCACACATTTGAATGGCTGGAAATTGGATAAACGCCTCGGCATCATACTGATGGTGTGGTATTTGCTATTCATAACCCTGGCATCGCTATACGAACTGAATGTATTCGGCTATATGAATCCACCAGAATGTCCAAGTAAGTAATATTCCGTGTGCTGGAATTGAAGTCTTCTTTGAATGCGAATTTATTTTGAATTTCCAATTATTTTTCTTTTTCCAGGCGAATATTAAGTCAATTTATTTATTTATATGACATATAAACGCAATAACATGGACATTTTGAATAATCGCAAAATCGCATCCTGCACATAAACATATTTAAGCGTTTTTACATTGTTTCTCGTTTGAGTTAAGTTTTGGGCGAAAACGGCATAAAGTACTAATCATTAAACAACAACAACAACAATAAAAAATAACCATATAACAAAATAACCACCACAAACAAAATATTAAGATTGAATTAGAGGAAATGCGGCACTTCAATATCTACCCCCAAAAAGCAAACACCATTCCCCATAGAGTTTTGAAATGGATTGGAAAGGAAGAAGGTGACAAATCTGAATAAATAAACGTGTTATTCTCATTCCACAGCATTTATCGAATGAAATTCTACAGTCAATAGAAATTAGTAACGACAACCACAATAACAACAGCAACAAGAACAACAACAACAACAACAACAAAAATATTAGCATATTTTACATTTTTACAACGCACCATAAAAAACAATAACAAATAAATAAACAACATTTAAATGCAATGAAATAATATAATAATGAAAAGAAAATTATAAAAACAACAACAATGATAATAATACAATGTAACAATAATAATAACAACAACAAAGAAATAAATAACATGTGTAGTTAGGTATATAATTTTTAGCATAATAATGAGAAGTATTTTTTTCATTTTCAAAAAAAAAAAATATAAACAAAATTAATTTTTAGAAATTGTTTAACAAAAAAATAGTTAAAGTGAAACATGCAAAATTCAATTGAACAAATAACTAAGTTGTCTCATATAATTTGTTCCCGATATTAACAAAAAGACAAACAAATAGTTAATTTAAATAGAAACAATTTACTAAGCTTTAATCATAATCAAGTAAGACTTTTTAATAGTTTTATTCTTTTATTTATTAAATCAAAATTATTAACCAAAAAATTTTATACTTATAACAAAAACCCTTGGAACATTTGCAAAAAAAAAAAACTCTCAAAGGCATAATTTTAAATGAGTCCAATATTTATTTCCATTTTGTTATTAACCACATAAATCTCCAAAATATCATTTCAGTCTCCGGAGTACACCTGGATTTTCATTATATCTAAGTCTATTGGATTAATAACTCAGTGTGTGGTATAGCGTTGTACATTCAAGTGAACCTACCTTTTAGTTCTGCCTTTCTGCTGAACTAGCTCGTTCATTATTTAGTCCATTGATCAATCGGTTCATTAGTTCACTATGTCGTTACTTCAGTTAGTAAACACAATTAAAATGGACTATATAGAATGTCTTAGTTCAAGCACACTTTCCAGTTCAATTCAACTAGTTCGTAAACTAAATATTTTCCAATTTCCTATTATAAAAAAATTTGAGAAATCTGAATTATCGTAACATTATTTTTTATGCGGGAATTCATCAGAATCAAATGGGTCCTCCTCTTCCTTCGAGTTCCATGTCTGCTTAGACCACTGTTTAACAGAACTAAATCGAGAGTAAGTGTGGGAGGGCGTAACTGAGAGACCGTGAGCAAAAATGAGAATACATTTTTAGCCATCACCGCTATCGTACTACAGTAGTTTTCACTTACCTGCACAAATACTTGAAATTATTTCTGTGCAGAAAAGTCAAAAGTGCAGCTATTTGAAATCACTTACCTGCATCAGTGGGCAGTGGGTAAATGAAATCACTGCATTAAATTGGAGCAATGTTAAATTTTCTAGAATCCGCGATCAATGCCGGTAACTAATAACGAAACCGAAGGGATACAGTTTTTTAAGTATATATTTATGAGCTGTTATCTTAAATGTGTAGGTATAAATTGTGCACTTAAACGACATATTTGAGAGGGAATCTGAGAAAATGTACCAAAAAGGTGTATTTTGGGCACCTAAATCCAAAGTACAGCTTTGTAAAAGGCTGCTAAATCAAAACTACTGCATTTTGTGCATGTGTGGTTTGGACTGAACTTTAAATTAATTTTCAGAACAAAGCTACCTTAAATTAAACAATGATTCAAAAACACATTATCATTTCGACATAAAAGACATTTCCGAACTCTTTCTCTCTATTTTCTCAAAATCCTATTCATAATCGAGATAATCTTGCCATGTTGGTACTTTTAAGAGAAGTGATGTATTTTTTAGTGCCAAAGCAGAGTTGTATTTGAAATTATTTCGATTTAGCAAATGATTTTGAGAAATTTGAGGCATTGTGTGGATTTCATTAATGGTAAATCGAGATAAATTTCGATTTTGCCTTAAATGTAGTTCCAAAGCACCGAGTTTTAATGTAACAATAGACTCCAAAGTTGTGGGTATATTGTCAAATACACTATCTAAACGTTGGAACATGACATTTAGCCGTTCTTGAATGTCGTTTCGTTCCGAATATATTTAGTTTTTAAGTATACTTGAATTTAATTTTTATCTCTACTAATTCTAACTTACCACACACTGATTAAATTTAGTTTTTCTTTTCTTCCCCAACAAACGAACCAAAATTCAAAATGGTTTCTTTGCAAAAAGAGCATTAATGAACTTAAATAAATTAAAGAAAAATAATTAACAATAAAATGCAACGAATTTTTCGTTTATATTAAAAATAATAAAAATAAAATACAAAAGCAAGAGCTACAAAAGATTGAATACAACAAATATGTAAAACAATTTACAAATGATTAAACAAAAACATGAAAATTATTCTATAACAAAAAATTAATATTATTATATAAAAATATATACATAAATAAAACATACAACCTATACAAGTTCATGTGTATATAGTTAAAGCATTTTAAAATAATATTATTTCTTATGTAATATTTTTGATTGGCAATATTAGGTTTTGTATTTTTTTTTTTTAGTTTGTGATATAAAATGAGGCAGTGCTTTGAAATAGTCGATACAACATAATTGTAAATGCTGCACAATTATGATGTAAAGTTTGTTTGTGTGTTAGTACATTTATATTGAAATGAGTCATTAAAAAACAGTTAATTTGAAAATATATAAAAAAGACACATACAATCAATACAGTTTTCCTTTAAAAAATATTGAATACGAAAAAGAACTATCTGTCTTCTTATAAATGTCTTTCATTTCAAACATATATATTTTCTTGTGTTGAATACGCTTCTTTTCATTTGTATAAAACCAAAAAAAGTAACAATAATTCATGTCAATTTCTATCTCAATGTTAATTACGAAAAAATAAATAAATAACAAAAAACTAAACCAGTTCAATTTCCATTTCGGAAGTCAATTTAATTTAATTACCAAACAAATTAATACAAAGAAAATTGAAAATATTTTAATACAAATATAAATCATGTAGTTACTATTCTATGTTATAATTAATGCAATTGTTATTTGGTGTTATAATTTTATTTTTTTAAATAACATAATTAAATATTAACTCTAAATGTCTATTACTATTTAAACTACGTTTAGTTTTGTTAACTTAAAATAAAAATAACTTCAAACGGTAACAATAATAACTTTAATAAACTAAAATAAATTTAATAAGAAATTAAAAATTGAAAACAAAATATATTTTTATTTGTTAATTAATAAATTTCCAAATACTCCTTCAAAGTTAGATAAAAATTCTAAAAATATGTATTTTAAGATAAACCAAATATGAGGTATTTATGTTCATGTCTCTAGTTACTAAGTTATATATTTTGCTCATTATCTTTTAAAAATACAATTGAAGAAATGAAAAAGAAAAACAATGTAATTTCCCTACAAAAACATATTGGTAAATACATTTCAGTTTTGTTCAGTAATAAATGAAATTTAATTCCTCCAAAAAGATTATCAATTCTTCTCCATCGCATGTTTCCATCAAAAATGAAAAAAAAGGAAAACAAAATTACTTCCACACAATAGACCTTGAAACTTCCTAAATAGTGAAAACTTTCAACGCCATATTTAGCTGCAAAAAAAACTAAGTATTCATATAGAATACAACAACTAAAGGATATTTTAGGTTCAAAACACCATTAACTTAAAACAATGCCGTTAAAACAATTGTCAATTGTTTCGTTTCAACTAAACTGAAACAAAAGAAAACATAACCTAAAACATTCATAACAATGAAATAATAACAATAATAAAAAGAACAATAACAAAGAGAACATAATAATACAATAACATGTGTAAATTAACAACAACAAAAATATTAATAACAATAATAAATCTAAAAAGGATATAACAACATAGAAAACGAAAATCAAATGCACCACTTTTTATATATACATATATATAGATAATATTATAAATGAACACAAATATTATATACATATACTACATAACCTCACTAGTACACACACACCGACATAATCACTATAAACAATTTAAAGCAGTTTCTGTTAAGACCTTTTTGATTTAAAGTTAATACTCAAAGTTTGACACATTCAGACATTATTTTGAAAAACTCAAACAAACAAAAAAATTAGAATTATACAATGTACCTACCATCTCCAATTGTTTTTTTAAGTAGAAGTATGTTCTTTCATTATGTTTCTTTAAAAAATATATATTTAAAATATGATTTTTTTTTTCTTTCAACATAAACCTTAGAGACAATAACCCAGCCTAAATCAGTATTTCGGCTTTACCATTTCCAATGCCATTTCTACTTAATTATGTCATTAATAATTTTAGATTTTTTGAATTAGTTTTTCTTATTTTTAATTCTAAATATAGTTAATTTGGAAGTATCATAGACAGATTCTTAGCTGGCTCGAGGCAGAACACTTGTTCAATAAGTCAAACTTAAAACAGATTTCCAGGCCAGTCGATCTTGTGCGCAGTTTTTCCAATTTGAAAGGCCATGCTTTGATATGTCGTCCTGTCGATGTCCGTTTATAGATGGTAAAGCTCGTGGTTCATCGGCGATATTCAACGTCGACG